TAACAGTCCAAATACAAGCAATCGACTTTAATACCTCATTGCATCAAGCTTAGCGACCTTTGATGGGCACGGAAAGTTTGGTGAGCAACTCCACTCTAGGATGATTCATTTTTAACATGGAATGGGCAAAGCATGTGCTAACCAATCAGAAAAGAAAAGGAAAGAAAAACAGCAGCAAAGAGTAAAATTAGTTTTAATGTTTCTGCAACAAAACATTACATTCACACGGAGGCTACAGATTGTACAGAAGAAAACAAATAACAACCCCAAAGACATGTTAAACATGTTAAGTGAGGACGAAAAGGAGATCTCTATAGAAATGTTTGGAAATCTGTTACGTCACACAGACATGTTGACAGAGTGGTCCGAAAGTGCAATTTTTCTTGAAATTAACAGGCAAGCTATCAGTGATTGACTTAAAGCCAAGAAAACCTTAGATGTGGATGGTAACGTAACAAAAAGCAGTGAAAACCCATGGAAAAGTGAATTTCTCTTGAGAAGGTTTGGGGATTTGATTGCCAATGGAATTACAAATTTGGACAAAAACAAAGCAAGTTGCTTAGCAGAGGATGGTTTCGATCCATTGACCTCTGGGTTATAGGCCCAGCACGCTTCCGCTGCGCCACTCTGCTGCTGCCAAAACTCCCCTTGTGCATTTTGAAAGGGAGAAGATGGCTCCACCTCCATTTGCATGCAGATAAAGAAAGATAGCTGCATTTGAAAGCAGAGGATGCCATAACCGCTGAAAAAGCATTTAGACATTGTGAGAGCAAATTTGTTAGCCCACGGAAAGGCGTCCACCGCTCACGCGGCGCTTAGCCCCCAAGGTGGCTTAATTACATGCTGAAGCCGTTAATCCTAAAGGTTGGTGGTTCAAGCTCACCTTAGGACGCGCTTTTTCGCTTTTGAGGCACTTGAGGTTTTTAACCGGTAGCCATAAAAAAGAAGCCCAAAATAGTTACCTTCAAACGCAAATACGGTGACCTAAATTCGATTAACATAGAGGTGGAGATAATTTCACAAAAACCATGTTTAAAGGAAGGGCGACACCATATGTAAAGGATGGTGCTTTCCAAATTGAACTTCAGCAAAAGCACGTGAAAAACATTATCGAAGTGAAAAGGAAGTTCATTCTTCATTCCGTTGTCAACCGGATTGACAATTGCCAAAGCAATTGACAGAAAATTGGGTTCGACCGGGGAATCTGAACAGGACTGCTCCTATCCATCACAACATCGGCGTCTGCAATTTCAAACAAATGGCATCTCCCAAATCAGCATGTGATGAGCCCCGAAGCGTGCTGGTGAAACCCCACTCCGGGACCATGCCTTTTCAATGCAGGAGGGGCAAAGCATGTGCTAACCAATTAGCAAAAAAATATCAAAATCCTCATCTTTCCCACAAAAACATCAACAACAACAGCAAAACATTGAAGACGGCTGGCTGCAAACGGAATAGAGAAATATTATACAAGCATGTTAAAAGCGTTGGAAGACAATTTTTAAAGGGAAGTGTTTTGAAACTTGAAGACACGCACGGCCGTGCCAGATGATCAGAAAGTGCAATTTCACTCGGAGTTAACAGTCCAAATACAAGCAATCGACTTTAATACCTCATTGCATCAAGCTTAGCGACGTTTGATGGGCATGGAAAGTTTGGTGAGCAACTCCACTCTAGGATGATTCATTTTTAACATGGAATGGGCAAAGCATGTGCTAACCAATCAGAAAAGAAAAGGAAAGAAAATCAGCAGCAAAGAGTAAAATTAGTTTTAATGTTTCTGCAACAAAACATTACATTCACACGGAGGCTACAGATTGTACAGAAGAAGAAAAATAACAACCCCAAAGACATGTTAAACATGTTAAGTGAGGACGAAAAGGAGATCTCTATAGAAATGTTTGGAAATCTGTTACGTCACACAGACATGTTGACAGAGTGGTCCGAAAGTGCAATTTTTCTTGAAATTAACAGGCAAGCTATCAGCGATTGACTTAAAGCCAAGAAAACCTTAGATGTGGATGGTAACGTAACAAAAAGCAGTGAAAACCCATGGAAAAGTGAATTTCTCTTGAGAAGGTTTGGGGATTTGATTGCCAATGGAATTACAAATTTGGACAAAAACAAAGGAACTTGCTTAGCAGAGGATGGTTTCGATCCATTGACCTCTGGGTTATGGGCCCAGCACGCTTCCGCTGCGCCACTCTGCTGCTGCCAAAACTCCCGTTGTGCATTTTGAAAGGGAGAAGATGGCTCCACCTCCATTTGCATGCAGAAAAAGAAAGATAGCTGCATTTGAAAGCAGAGGATGCCGTAACCGCTGAAAAAGCATTTAGACATCGTGAGAGCAAAATCTTGTTAGCCCACGTAGCTATCCACTGCTCACGTGCTTAGTCTCTGTGGCGCAATTGGTTAGCGCGTTCGGCTGTTAACCGAAAGGTTGGTGGTTCAAGCCCACCCAGGGACGTCTTTTCGCTTTTTGAGGCACTTGAGGTTTTTTTAACCGAGAAGCATAAAAGAAGCCCAAAATAGTTACCTTTCAAATGCAAATACGGTGACTAGAAATTGATTAACATAGGTGGAGACACTTCACAAAACCATGTTTAAAGGGAAGGGTGACGCCATATGTATGATGGTGCTTTCCAATTGAAACTTCAGCAAAAGCACGTAAAACATCATCAGAAGTGAAAAGGAAGTTCATTCTTCATTCCGTTGTCAACCGATTGGACAATTGCCAATTGGACAGAAAATTGGGCTCGATCAAAGGGAACCTGAACAGGGGACTGCTCCTATCCATCGTCAGTCATCGGGAAAGTGTCTGCAATTTCAAACAAATGGCATCTCCCAAATCAGCATGTGATGAGCCCCCGAAGCGTGCTGGTGAAACCCCACTCCGGGACCATGCCTTTTCAATGCAGGAGGGGCAAAGCATGTGCTAACCAATTAGCAAAAAAATATCAAAATCCTCATCTTTCCCACAAAAACATCAACAACAACAGCAAAAACATTGAAGACGGCTGGCTGCAAACGGAATAGAGAAATATTATACAAGCATGTTAAAAGCGTTGGAAGACAATTTTTAAAGGGAAGTGTTTTGAAACTTGAAGACACGCACGGCCGTGCCAGATGATCAGAAAGTGCAATTTCACTCGGAGTTAACAGTCCAAATACAAGCAATCGACTTTAATACCTCATTGCATCAAGCTTAGCGACATTTGATGGGCACGGAAAGTTTGGTGAGCAACTCCACTCTAGGATGATTCATTTTTAACATGGAATGGGCAAAGCATGTGCTAACCAATCAGAAAAGAAAAGGAAAGAAAAACAGCAGCAAAGAGTAAAATTAGTTTTAATGTTTCTGCAACAAAACATTACATTCACACGGAGGCTACAGATTGTACAGAAGAAAAAAAATAACAACCCCAAAGACATGTTAAACATGTTAAGTGAGGACGAAAAGGAGATCTCTATAGAAATGTTTGGAAATCTGTTACGTCACACAGACATGTTGACAGAGTGGTCCGAAAGTGCAATTTTTCTTGAAATTAACAGGCAAGCTATCAGCGATTGACTTAAAGCCAAGAAAACCTTAGATGTGGATGGTAACGTAACAAAAAGCAGTGAAAACCCATGGAAAAGTGAATTTCTCTTGAGAAGGTATGGGGATTTGATTGCCAATGGAATTACAAATTTGGACAAAAACAAAGCAACTCGCTTAGCAGAGGATGGTTTCAATCTATCGACCTCTGGGTTATGGGCCCAGCACGCTTCCGCTGCGCCACTCTGCTGCTGCCAAAGCTCCCGTTGTGCATTTTGAAAGGGAGAAGATGGCTCCACCTCCATTTGCATGCAGATAAAGAAAGATAGCTGCATTTGAAAGCAGAGGATGCCGTAACCGCTGAAAAAGCATTTAGACATCGTGAGAGCAAAATCTTGTTAGCCCACGTAGCTATCCACTGCTCACGTGCTTAGTCTCTGTGGCGCAATTGGTTAGCGCGTTCGGCTGTTAACCGAAAGGTTGGTGGTTCAAGCCCACCCAGGGACGTCTTTTCGCTTTTTGAGGCACTTGAGGTTTTTTTAACCGAGAAGCATAAAAGAAGCCCAAAATAGTTACCTTTCAAACGCAAATACGGTGACTGCAAATTGATTAACATAGGTGGAGACACTTCACAAAACCATGTTTAAAGGGAAGGGTGATGCCATATGTATGATGGTGCTTTCCAATTGAAACTTCAGCAAAAGCACGTAAAACATTATCAGAAGTGAAAAGGAAGTTCATTCTTCATTCCGTTGTCAACCGATTGGACAATTGCCAATTGGACAGAAAATCTGTCTTGATCAAAGGGAACCTGAACAGGCGACTGCTCCTATCCATCGTCAGTCATCAGGAAAGTGTCTGCAATTTCAAACAAATGGCATTTCCCAAATCAGCATGTGATGAGCCCCCAAGGTCTGCTGGTGAAACCCCACTCCGGGACCGTGCCTTTTCAATGCAAGAGGGGCAAAGCATGTGCTAACCAATAAGCAAAAAAATATCAAAATCCTCTGTCTCTTTCTCCCCCCGTTCCCTGTGTCTTTCCCTCCTCCACATCTCTCTTCCCTTCTGTCTCTTTCTCCCCCCATTCCCTGTGTCTTTCCCTCCTCCACATCTCTCTTCACTTCTGTCTCTTTCTCCCCCCTTTCCATGTGTCCCTCCCTCCTCCACATCTCTCTTCATCCCCCCTTTTCTTGTGTCTCTCCCTCCTCCAAATCTCTTTTCCCCTCTGTCTCTTTCTTCCCCCTTTTCCTGTGTCTCTCCCTTCTCCACATCTCTCTTCCTCCCACCTTTCCCTGTGTCTCTCCCTCTTCCACATCTCTCTTCCTCCCCCCTTTCCCTGTGTCTCTCCCTCCTTCCTCTACTATTTCTCCTCTCTGTTTTATTTCCCCCCCCATTTACCTAGAGAAGTCAGGGGGGCCGCCGGGCCGGGTGGCAGCTTGGCCAGTCCGGTGTCCGACGTCACTTCTGTCACTGATGATGCTGAGGGCTGAAGGAGGAGGAGCATGTCTACCATGCTCCCTCGCGGTTCCATGCTCCTCCTCCTTCAGCCCTCAGCATTATCAGTGACAGAAGTGCCACCGGACTGGCGAAGCTGCCACCCAGCCTGGCGGCTTCAGCCTGGAAAGCAGCTGGCCCCCTCTGAGTGTGCCACCGGACCGTCCACCCGGTGGCACCTATATGCGCAGCGCAGGCCCCATGTGCCGCAGCCCACCGGGAAGTTTCCCGGTCTCCCGGTGGGCTAGTCCAGCCCTGTTGTTAATTGAGGACGAAAAGGAGATCTCTATAAAAATGTATAGAAATCTGTTACGTCACACAGACACAGACTTTTCATCAGAAAGTGCAATTTTTCTTTAAATTAACAGGCAAGCTCTCAGCGATTGCCTTAAAACAAAGAAAACCTCAGATGTGGATGGTAATGTAACTTACAAATTTGGACAAAAACCTAAGCACCTTGCTTAGCAGAGGATGGTTTCGATCCATTGAGCTCTGGGTGTTTGGCCCAGCACGCTTCCGCTGCTGTCACACCATTCTTTGTGTAATTTGAAAGGGAGTAGCTGGCTCCACCTCCATTTGCATGCAGATAAAGAAAGATAGCTGCATTTGAAAACAGAGGATGCCGTAACCTCTGAAAAAGCATTTAGACATCGAGAGAGAGACACTTTCCTAAGGACGATGGATAGGAGCAATTCCCTTTTCATGTTCTCTTTGATTGATACCAATTTTCTCTCCAAGCAGCGATTGTCCAATCGGTTGATAACTGAATGAAGAATGAAACTTCCTGTTCACTTCTGACGATGCTCTTGGTGAAGTTTCAATTGGAAAGCACATCATAGATATGGCGTCACCTCTTTAAACATGGTTTATTGGTTAATCTTTGCTGCAAAACTCTGGACACTACTTATCCAGGAAGGCTAAGGAGAAATCTAATAGATGCATAAATTGCCCCAAATATGAAGAATCTTTGCAGAGCTTGTCTTCTGGAAGTAGCAGATGCTTCCCAAAAGAGTTTCTAGCAGAAAGATCTAAAATGCTGGATATCCCAAGCGATAGCAGAGGGTTTCAAATCTACTTCTGAAAAAATTGAGTCTTCTATTTCTAATAATTTTGAATTTTTGGAGGAAGATGATGAGGAGGTAGATCTGTTGATAGGCTTATTAGATTTGATCATCGTATTCCATATCTATTGATAGGCTTATTAGATTTGAGATGAAGCCATTCAGAAGGCATCCGATGGTAAAAAAAAAAAGCCCTTTTACCTGAAGAGAAAAAAGCCCATTTCCTTATCTTGGAGGAATAAAAAATACAGAGATTGTTCCTTTTGTGAAAACAGAAGCTATAGACCAAGAAGAGAATACTCCAGATATACAAACTGAACAAACTTCACACAGACATCTGCAAATAAGAGGTTCGAAAAAATAGAAAAACGTATCAGCACTAATTTACTAAAACCAAAAAATGGGAAATATTGAAAGAAATAAGCAGTACACCTCAAATAGTAAGGCTCCCTCTAAGCCCTACAATCAATTAGAATAGTACAAGCAAGGGAAATGGAGGAAGCACAAAAATAGTAAAAAACACTAGTATTAATAAGAAAAGTCTTTATGGTCCTACTCACATTTGTTAGAGCTTAAACCCCACTCTAGTATAAATAGCGAAGAGTGGTACAATCCCCCTAATAGGATATATGAGGAGATATTGATAGACAGGTGTTTCATCAGTATGAAGACCATAAGAAGTATAAAAGAGACAACAATAGTGCTCACAGTATAAAAGGTAGCAGGAGTATACAATAATGAATGGTTACTCATATTCAACTGAGCAAGCAGACTGCTCATTGTGTAGGGGTAAGTATAATTCCCACCTAGGATTCTTTAGGATTAGTCCTCACTGGAACATTGAAATTGGATGCCAGGTAGAAGGTAAAAATATAAAATAGTAACGAATAAAACAGTAAAATGGCACACTCATAATAGGAAGTAGCCAAAATACCTGTATTGATATAAAATAAACAGAATCTGGGATATATTCAGAAATTGGGCATCTAGTAAGAATTTTGATATAATCCAACCCAGTAATACTCAGATTCTGGAATTCCTACAAGAAGGACTGGATAAGAGCCTTAGTCTCAGTCCACGTAAGGTCCAATCTTCTGCATTATCGGCTCTGTGCAACGTTTCCTGGTCCTCAGATCCTTTGATCACAAGATTCTTCAAAGTGGCTTTATACTTTTTTCTTGGTTACCATTACATCTGGCAAGAGAATGTCTGGAATTAATGCATTCTCAGCCAGTGAATCATGTATTCAATTTTTTTCAATACAGGGTATGCCTGCAGACAAAACAAGAGTTTCTTCCAAAAGTAGTTTCAAAGTATAATCTGAATCAAGAAGTGGTCCTTCTGTCTTTTTATTCTAATTCTTCTACGAAAGAGGAGTTTAGTTGGCATCAATCAGATGTTAGAGAGTGCTTGATCCAATATCTGCTTTGCTCGAAAGCTTTCAGGGAGAAGGACAAGTTTTTTGTTTTTCTTTCAGGTTCAAGGAAGAGTAAGGCAGTTTCTATTTCTACATTGAACCGCTGGATTTCATTAATCATCTGGAAAGCATACATCCTCAAGAATCGGTTACCCGAAAAAATCAGAACCTATTCCATAAAACTTGTTCACGTGAGTCCTCAAACTCATATTCTCGTGTTATCATCTTAAGCTTTATTGATTTTCATGCAATTGGAAGATGATCCATCTTCATTCTTTCTGACCGCACATTGAAAGGAGTGGGAAGAACGTTATTAGTCTTTGTTTTGTTTCTTTATACTTCATTCGTACATTCCCTCCATATTGCTAACTTACTTTCATAGCGCCCATAATGAAACGCAGCTTCTTTTTTTCCCAAGGGGAGACATTCATTGTTCAACTTTCTCTAAACCATATCTGCGAAGTACATTTTAGTTATATAAATTATAAAACTATATAAGCTGTCAGAAAATCACAACTCTGCATGGTAACTCCATTAAAATATTTCATCCCAGAAAAATGTGAGGCAGCAGAACAAAAGAAAGCTTTATGGCATACAAAACGTTCTTGAGAGTCCCTGCCCAAATGCCTTTTTAATTATACTTAAAAAGAAAGATAGATTACAAGTGATCATCACGCATTGTCATGTTACCGGTAGTTAACTCATTAAATTGTGTGATCATTGGTCACACTGTAATAGTCTATTCTATTGCAAATAGCAGGAAATTGAAAAGACTAGTCTGTTACTAAAACCCCCTTGTGCCATAAATGATGGCATAAGGGGGACATATGTCACCTGCAATATATTGTATATATATTATGATTTGCGAACATCAATGCCAGTGGTAGGTCTTTTTTTTTATATATAAATATTATACATGTATATCTCTTTCTTGACTTTTTTTAAATAGTTTTTTGTACTATAACTGTAAATACAGTTTTACATTGTCTTTGTGTTTAATGTTACATCTATAGATTGCGTGTTTATCTGAACCAGTAGCCATTAGTTTACTGCAATGAAAACAATTAAAGAAACGAATATAATTCAAAAGGTTAGCTCAGTTTTTAAGGTTAAGAACAGTCAAATTGCTTCTTTATAATTTAGTTAGGATCCAAATATTTTTTATAATTATTTTTACTGTATGCAGCCAGGTCAATGCTGACTGTAGATATTCTAACTTCATTTCACTTGGCTCGTTGTCTCGGACATGTGTTTTGGTTCAGTTCTAGAAGCAGGGCACAAGTGCAGTTTCTGTAGCAAATTTTATTTTCTTTTACAGCAAGTAACTTAAAGCGGCACTGTCATGCCGAACTTACCTTCCCTC